AGACATATTATTAAAATTTAGGCTGTAATGGTTGTATTGATGTATAGCAACTTGAAATGCTCCCAAAAATGGCTCCACAGCATGTAAAAAAATAATATAAGCTCTGGCGGACTTGGTTCTATGGTAGGTCTTAAAGGGTTAAACGTCAAATGAAGAAATACTGAATGATAAGATAACTTTAGGATATCTCCAAGCCTTATCGGGGACAACCTTTTGTTTAGTTTTGTTTTTTTAGCTAAATGAATCCAGCTAAACTCATAGTATCTGTCAAGGCTATGTGTAATATACTCTCCTGTTTAGAGTAATGAATGACCTTTCAGACTTTTAATCAAAGACCACTGCGTAAGATCATGTCCTCTTGAAGGCGTAGAGCAGAGCCCGTTCTCTAAAACCCTATATAAATTCCACTTACACACATACCTGGCATCAGGGAGAGATGGCAGTCTCAGTTCTTTTAATTGGTCTGGTATCTGCTCTGTGTTTGTTTCAGCTGAACTCAGTTTTTGCCTTGGGTGTGTCTCTGGATAGTCGGAATCAAAGGAGTAGCTTTACAGGTGCTTGGGCTGGTGCTGAAGCTTCTTCTGTGAAATGTAAGTTGCAGGGTAGCATTCATCTACCTGCATTCTCAATGGATGGGGACTTCATTATTGGGGGTGCTTTCTCTCTTCACTCCTACACGCAAACAGTGAGCCATGATTATACCATCATGCCTGAGCCAGTAAGATGCAAAGGGAGGTCAGTATGGAAAAAATTATGAACATGTTGCATGTATTGTAATGGTAATCTTTCTTGCTGTGTGTTATCTGTATGAAATTTCATCTTAACAAAATCTATGTAGCCTACAATTTTAACAGTGAGGTGACTGTCTGTCTGCAGCATAAATGCCGATGAGCTGCAGTTGTCACATGCAATGGTCTTTGCCATAGAAGAGATTAACAACAATACAGAGCTGCTGCCCGGAATCAGGCTTGGGTATCAGATCTATGACTCATGTGCATCAGTTTCCATGACAGTGCATTTGGCATTTCAGTTTTTGAATAGCTTGGACCTTGTGTTTCACACTGGCAAAAACTGCTCCCAGTCAGGTATGGTGATGGCTGTTGTTGGTGAGTCTGGGTCTACGCCATCCATCAGCATGTCACGGATCATCAGTCCCTTTAACATTCCTCAAGTAAATACTTTAATTTTTTTTCAAACTAGGTGTTTAAAATATCCATGCACATCTGCAGTTCTTATAGGATTACCTTGTCTTCTTTTGTTTTAGGTGAGCCCCTCTGCCACATGTGCATGCTTGTCTGACAAGCAGCAGTACCCAAGGTTTTTCAGAACAATCCCCAGTGACCAGTTTCAAGCTGGTGCGCTAGCTAAGCTGGTAAAACAGTTTGGCTGGACTTGGATAGGTGCTGTTCGATCAGATACAGATTATGGAAATAACGGCATGGCATCTTTTCTAGAAGCAGCAAAGAAGGAGGGGATTTGTGTGGAATACTCTGTATCTTTCTATCGGACCCACCCACATAGCAGGATTCAGAAAGTAGCAGATGTTATCCGCAGGTTTTTACATCAAAGATTTTCACTCTGGGATTTATTTTTAATGATTTTTTTACAAGGTTTTTTTTGTTTCTTTGTTTGATTGATATACAAAAATAAGTTTCTGACTAAACATTTTACATACCGGGTAGCTTAAAAAAGTCTTCTAATAAGTTGTACTTTTTTCACAAGATCTACATCTATGGTAGTGGTGGCATTTGCACCATCTGGAGACATGAGGATCCTGCTGGCAGAACTTTCACGTGAGCCTTTCCCACCTCGACAATGGATAGGCAGTGAGTCATGGGTGACCAACCCGGGATTAAGGAAGTACAGTTTTCTCGCTGGGACCATTGGATTTGGAATTCAGAAATCTGTAATCCCAGGTTTCAGAAACTTCCTGTTGAATCTCTCTTTTGCTCAAGTGGCTGTATCACCACTGCTTACTGAGTTCTGGGAGGATTCCTTCAACTGCACAATAAAAGAAAGTGAGAAACATTTTTCGTTTTTTGTTTTTCTTGGTTGTTAGAGTTTCTTGTAAAATGTCTGGTCTTAAAAAGGCCAGACATGTTCTTTTTTGTAATTTAAGCAATTTCAAATCCAACATAATCAAAAAGGTCCGTTACTGCAACAAATCATAATCTATATGTTTAACCTTTAGGTCAAGTTTAGGCAGTCAGCCAACACTATTACTGTGGCCCCTTTTCTCAAACGTGACTCTTTGTTTGTTGAGTGATATGTTCAAAAGATATGATGTTAAATGGATGAATTCAATTGTCTGTCATTTTGGTGCCTTTTTTATTTTTAGGTAATTCTGCAGGAAAGAAAGTATGTAATGGAACTGAAGATATAAAGACTCTCCAAACCCCGTACACTGATACATCTCAGCTTAGAATTAGTAACATGGTGTACAAGGCTGTGTATGCAATTGCACATGCCATTCATAATGCATTATGTCAGGGAAGAAATGTCACAGCTCAGTGTGACAAACTAACCAAATTACAGTCCAAGCAGGTCAGTAAAAACGAATCAGTCATTGCCAACATGTTTCACTGTCTCTAAGAAACCTTAAGTGAAACATTACTTTTAGTTGTTCAAATATTGTTTTGTTTTTTCTTTCCACTCCCTCTATGTCTCAATTCATCCTTACAGATTCTAACTGAGCTGAAGAAAGTACATTTTTCCCGAAATGGATATGATGTGTCATTCGATACTAATGGGGATCCTGTGGCTATTTATGAGTTGGTTAACTGGCAGAAAACTATGGCTGGCATAACTGACATAGTGAATGTAGGGCTGTATGATGCATCACTGCCAGAGGGCCAGGAGTTCCAGATTAACAAAAACATCATCTGGATGGAGGGCAGCACGAAAGTAAAAAGGCAAATTAATGTAATCTTTTCAGTTTTATAGCAAACATTTACATATGTTACGCTGCCTTTTTGTATTACACAGGTGCCAGTGTCAGTGTGCAGTGGGAGTTGTCCTCCAGGAACTCGTAAAGTGCTGCAAAAAGGAAAACCCATTTGCTGCTATGACTGTACCGCATGTCCTGAGGGAGAGATTAGTAATACTACAGGTAAAGTAAAATGCTTGTCTGTGCATGTAAAATGTTTTTATGATGCAAATCTGCAACATCGAATACATTACAAGAATAAATTTGTAATCTATAAAGCCAAAATTACAAGAAGCACCTTAACTCCTTTTTTT